GGAGAGATCGGTGCAGAACTCGGTTGATCCCGAGGCGTTCAATGCCGTCGATCCGCCCGATGATGATCTTCTGTATCCGCCCTTGGACTACATGCCGGTTGTGCTCCGGCCGTGGACCCTGTCGGGGATCATCCTCTGCTGTCTGCTCATGATCGCGGGCATTTCCTTCTGCAATGTGTGGTCCAGCCGTCACCAGGGTTTGTGGGCGTACGAACATCTGGGCGATGCACGATATTTCGTGATGCAGTATCTTCCGCAGATTCTGGCATTTGTCATCACTGTCTGGACGTTTGTAATTCAAGCGGCGGTGTATCGCATCATGCCTTTTATCATAATGGCCGTTGAGCGTGAGCGCGAACATACATTGCAGAAGCTTCCCATCTTGTCTCACAATTTCCTGCTCCCTGATTTCTCGCAATTTCGGTACGGAGAGCCGCTCGTCGGGTTTGCATTGTTCACTATCTGGCTTTCGAACCTGGTCACACTACCACTGTTGAGCTGCCTGTTCCAAGCGAAATGGTTCGAGGCTGGTGGTCAGGGCTCATTTCGATGGGCGTCTGTGTTGGCAGTGGGGTGGACTCTTGTGGCTCTATATGGGCTTCTCACCATCGGACTGATCCTTTTGCTGATGCGGTTCACTAAAGCCTGGACGGGGTTGATGTGGGATCCCGTAAGTCTCGCGGACCTAATTCCACTCATTCAACGGTCGAACATCCTGCATGACTTTCAATATTCCGAGACGGAGTCCCATGTTGCGAATCTCATCGATTCCCGAGTATTACGTCTCGGTTACTGGAAGGTGACTGGCCGGGCAGAGGTGTTCTACGGGATCGGTGAAGTTGACGCCCCGATTCGAAATCCGTCTCTCCACCGTGACGTGAAGAATCGCAAGGAACAGCCGCGTGGTTTATCCACGGTATCTTACGACATCGAGCAAAATGGTGCGAGTGGGCACGATAGCCTGCTCAAGCATCCATACTCGCCACTTTTCCGCCATCGATGGGTTCCGTGGTTTCTGAAAGACATATCGGTGGTAGCGTGGACGGTCATCGTTTGTGCCTTGTTCATCGCCTTTGTGCTCGTGAGCTTCATCCACGACGCCATCAAGGGAGGGTTTCCTCCTCGACTGCGCACTCTACCGTCTACTGGCGCGTTCTCCTCGTCGAACTTCGTCTACAGCTTTATCCCGGCATTGATCGGCAATTTCTTCTTCCTCGCGTGGCAGCCCATCGACGTGTATTTCCGTGCCGTGCAGCCCTTTGCGGCGTTATCCTCGCCTGACGGGGCCCGCGCAGACCAGAGTATCCTGCTATCATACCCATCACGCCTCCCCTTCCAGGTATCAGCGCTGGCGTTCCTCAACGGTCACTACAGAGTTGCCTGGATCTCTCTCATGAGCCTCGTCTCAGCAGCCCTACCAATTCTTGCCGGAGGTGTCTTCATCGCCCTATGGTACCCGTCCCACGACGAAATCCGCATCGGGGCACACATGCCCGCGTTCTACGCCCTCATTGTCTTCTGCGCCGTATACATGGCCTCATTCCTGTGCATCTGGCCCGGTCGCAGTCGTTACCTACCCCACGATATCTCAACCCTCGCGGACCAGATCAGCTTTCTTTACCAGAGCCCTCTCTTGGCGGATAAACTCCTACGGGAGCCTCGCAGCAAGACGGACCTCGTTACCCGTCTGGTCATCGCGCCGCCCGGCGATCGCGAGCACTCCGTGTACGGCTTCGGCGTTTATATTGGCCGCGACGGCAAGGAACATCTGGGGATCGATCGATTTCATCGTCCGGGTAGAGCCGACATGTTGATTACGACGGGGTCTATGAAGTGAGGGGATTGGTTCGCAGCCAGCTGCTGTAAAATATGTGCTTACCCTGTCGGCGTTGTCGATATCTAATACCTTACCTACTGCGTGGAGCTACGCTTTTATGACATGATTACGAATGATTTACGGGATGAAGAAGCATGACAGACGAATGATAATGAGATATGCGATTCGGTTCTTTTGTGATTTCTTTTTTTTTATTTGACGCCAATGTCGACGACATAGCCTGGAGTTCTGGCCGGGGGATTAATTAGCATAGCTACGCTACTAGAATTGTTGCAATTATACCCTTCTTTTGCCCCATTGTTTCAGCAAACCCGTAGTATTAGATGCAAGTTCCAAACCAACAGCAGAAGTGGTGGAATCGCAGGTGGGCTGAACCTCAAGGAGCGAAGATGAAATCGATGTGCTCAATCCCAGGCGATCACCAACCCGGTCCGCCCTGCAACATCCAAGGCTGCAGCGAATGCCAACATATAAGGCAACGAAAATGCCTGGGAATGGGTGGTGGCAGAATGCCTACTCCACCGCTTCCATAACATTACTATCATTGGTTGACACATATCACGTGTTTTAAAACGACGCTAGTGAAACCTCCAGACGGGAATTCTTGAAAATCCCCATACAAAACAGCCCGATCACATTCCCAATTGGGCGATTCGAAAGTGATCATTTTTGGCCGTTGGACAAAGTATCTCGGATTTGAATTATGATAGCACCGTTCGAAAGCCCTCGTTGAGACGATTCCAGCTGTACCATTTACTTTTCTTCTTATTGCCTCTGTGAGCTGTTATTGTTGCATTAAGTCGTTGAGATCACGTGTGCTGGTTTCTTATCTTATCAAGTAGGAGATAAGATAAGGATGATGTCTCTCCCCATGTGAAGCCAAGCCGGCAATCTACCTGCGAATCCCGACAAAGCATGAACCTCCTCCGCCCTCCCATGCTCCTCCATGACTAGAGCGCTAGGTTGTCTAGAATAACTGAGGCATGACTCTACGATATACACGCTACTGATTCGCCCCGGGCTAGCGATGGACTGATCAATCGTTGATATCCCCACGTCGCGAATCGCGACAATGGTACACGGCGGGAAACCCAGTACTGGATGCCAGAACTGCCGAACGAGACGCATTAAGGTATCCCATGTATGCCTCGCCCTGTGGGTTTCGGCGACGCTGATGTAGAAAAGTGTGATGAGGCACGTCCCCATTGTAGGGCCTGCGTGCGCACCGGCCGCGCATGTCCCGGATATCCACATCCGTTGGACTTTATGCTCCGCGATCGGATTGCCTTTCAGCGCAAGAAGAGGACAGGTGCTGGTTCGCCTGTTTCTTCAGTGTTAGCTCAGGGAGCGGTAGTGAAGGCCCAGAAATCAAAGATAAAGCCACCAAAGACCCCAAATGATGCCTGTCTCGCACCAGTCAATCGGAACCGAACACCCACTTCCACGCCATGGCCAATCCAGATGATCCCCAGCAGTCTTGATCTACCCGTGGAAGACACGGTAGCAACCCTATTTTTTAACTCCGTGCTATACCACCGCAGAGACCCCTTGATCCGCGTTGGTTTCATGGAGCTTCTCCCGCAGTCGTATTCCAACGCGCGGCCCGGTTCGCACTTGCAACTCGGGGTGCTGGCCGTGGCGTTCTTCTCTGTGTCGGCATGGACGGGCCAGAGGGCGTTGCTCCAGTCGGCGGAACTATTCTCTATGAAGGCTATTTCGCAGACTCGGATGGCGTTGCAGGGGGGTCTCCGGGGAAATGTGGATGAGATTCTTATGACAGCGTTGTTGCTTTCTCTGTATGATGTGAGTATTATGTGGTTTTCGGTTGGTTTGGCTCTAACGATGTGAAGCAATTTTCTGCTCTTAAGGAAAAGAGACGACCTTCGAAAGCACATCTTCGGGGGGCTATTGCTTTGGTCAAAAGCCTGGATGCGCAGCAGCGGGACTCGGTATCTGCTACGACGTTGGCCAATGCGGTTCAGATGCAAGTGGTGTGTTTGCCTTTTTTTTTTTTTCCCCTTTCTTCCATCTACTTTCAGTTGTTCGATTCATACTGAATATGCAGGTAAAATACTCTCTGGGCCTCACAGGTCACCCTGATCAGTTAGTCCAAATCCCCGAAATATGGCCAGTTTCACCCGTAGTCCCGCAGTCAGCGTCATCTGAACTCGCTTCTGCCTCGACAGAACTAGTTGGCCTGCGTCTCGTCTGGCAACAATTGAACGCCAATACTGAGGCCCCCAACCCCACCCAACTCACTACTCTCCTCGATAAAGCCACTTCTCTAGATACCCGGATAGTGTCCTGGACAAGCGGACTCCCGGCGCACTGGATGCCCGTCCAATCCACCACAATACCCGCGTCGATCCTCGCCGCAGGTGTCTTTTCAAACCGCTGTGACTGCTATAGCGACCTATGGATAGCATCTACATGGAACTTCTACCGCGACTCGCGCATCGTCATCCACAATATCATCCTTCACTGCCTGCGCATGCTTCCCCCGGATAGCGAAACGCTGCAGAGAATCGAATTCTCTTCCAGCACGATACGCACACTAGCCACGGACATCTGCGCCAGTGTTCCGTTCTTTTTGGGCAGCCAGATGGTTTCCGTTCCGATGAACATGGTCCCGTCTAATGATGTGGAGTACCCGGTTGCGGAGAACCGACCGGTAATTGCGGCGCATCAGCAGACGGCTCCGTTGCTGGGTGGGTGGTTTGTTCGTTCTTATTTGGAGAGTCTGTCTTCGCCTGATCTTGGGTTGGACGAGGAGCTGGTCGGGTGGATGCGCGGGCAGATGGAACGGATATTGAAGATATACACATTTGACGGGACGTTGATGTAACTTTTTATAGACTATTGAGCATATATATACACGTATAACGAGACAAAGAGACTATTTGCTGGGAATAAATAATACATTTTCGAATATTCAGTTCTATTTAACCAATCCCGTATCTAAGGGTAGACAGCCTCAGGCATGAGTCACATGACCGTCTGCATCAATCTCCGCACTTCCTCCGAAGATCATCGCTACTTATCGATCAGCCAAGCTAATTGCGCTCCAACCTTCAAAGCAACACCTCTTACCTATCCTCAAACAAAACACACATCCACACTGCCTCCGAAACCAAACCCCACCCAATCCCAGAGCTACGCAACAATGCTCGAAACCATCCTCAACTGGGCTAAACCCAGCCCCAGCCAACAACAACAACAACAACAGCCACCACAATCACAATCACAACAGTCCGACCAACAACAACAAGCAGCACAACAACAATCCGACCCCATCAAAGAATGGACCCCCATCACCCCCAACACAAAATACAAGCTCCTCCTCGGCGGACTGGGCTTCCTCGCCTTCAGCCTAAGCGCCACCCGGCGCGCAATCAACAGACGCACGCTCAGCGCCCGACCCCCCTTCTACACGTCCTCGCCGTACCACCGCCCCGACGCCAACGGCGGCGCGGAAGCCTTCGAGGCGCTGCATCTGGCGACGATAAACGTCGTCTCGGTGGGCATGGCTGCGACGGGGGCTGCGATGTTCGCGTTTGGTGTCGACGGTGTGCAGGATATGAGGGGGTATATGCGTCGGGGCATGGGGATCGAGGATGAGCATGGGAATCCGATTGTGCCGAAGTCGGGGGGTGGGGATGAGGAGATTGAGAGGGATATTGAGGAGTGGGTGGGGAGTGTGTTGGGGCAGAAGTATGGGGATGCGTTGAAGAAGGAGAGGGATGGGGAGGCAGAGGGGGTGGTGGAGGGGAAGGCGGCTTAGATGGTTGATATTTTGGGGGGAGGTTGGAAGGACTGTGTATATTTTACTGTGGATGGTGATGCTTTTGTGGATGGAGGTTGGAGGTTGAAAAAGGTGTGTTGGTGCGGTGATGTTACGGGATACTAACTCTCCTCTTACTTTGCGCTTCTCTTCTCTTTTCTGTATCTACGTGTCTGTGTATATACCCCGTATACATTATCAGCCTGCGGGCTATGGCGAAATGGTGTTGATATCCTGTTATACAAATTACTCCATCTTATCATATCGATCCCGAGCAGTCTGTCTCGTCTTCTGCAAGAACTCATCGTATCGACCGCGCGTGTTCCGGCCCGCTTCTTCCGCGGCATCACCCAGCTTGCTCCCTTGAGCCCCTAATCCCACACCTTGTGCATACACCTCTGTGGCGATCGGAGCCGTCATGCCGGTCCCCTGGGCACCAAGCCCAGATCCAGCCGACCAGCCCATCTTGCTGAGCAGCGACGCGCCCTTGGATTCCACCTCGACTTCCGGTGACGGCTCCTTCGGCGGTGCGGGCCTGCTCTTGGCGGTGGCCTTTGGGCGTCCGAAGGCCTGGCGTCGCTCACGCGCACGATCCCGGTACTCGGGCGGTGCCGGGACGATTCCATGCTTGATGAGCTTGTTCATGCCTCGGCTGACCAGGTCCCCCTTTTGCAGATTGCTGCGGTGGTACTGGCTGAGGCGCTCGTGGCGGTTGACCTCTGCGGAGGCCTTGAATTGCCGCATGCAGAGATAGCAACAGTTGCGGTTGAGATCCGCATAGGACTGAGCCGGAGGTGCCGTCGAGTCTTGTGATCCCTCATCTGATTTGTCGTTGGGATCCCGCTTTTTGATGCCGTGCAGCTCTGCGTGACGATTGCTCCAGAATTGCAGGTGCGACGGCACTGCCATCTTCTTGGACGCTGCGGTTGCGGTTGCGTCTGCCTTTCTTTTCTTGGCCTTCTCTTTCTCGGATTCTTTGCTGCCTTTCGCTTGGTGTTCTTGTGGTGCGGACGGGTTGTCCATTTCCGCTGATGACACGGTCAGCTCCCTAACGTAGGCGTCATCGTCCCAATACATCAGCTTCAGCTGTGGATTGTTCAGCGGACTGAATGTGAATCGATCCGTGCTGGCTGAAGGGTTGATAACGGGGACGAAAACGCCGGCATGGATGTAGCTGACAAGGACCGGCCTCGATGAAATGGTAAATTTGTCAAACGAGTTCAGTCGGGTGATGGCTGCTTGCGCATCCTAGAACAGTTAGCTAATTAAACGACTGGTTGGAAAGTAAAGATACCTGGACAGTGGCAAACTCGGCAAATCCGTAACGCCAGCTCTCGTTAGTTCGACGGTCCCTGACAAGCAAGACTCGCCGGATTGATCCATCGCGGGCGCCCAGGTTAGCATCTCCAGTGGTAGATGAGACTTTGGCCCCTTTCTTTTGATTCCCAGACGAATTCTCGGAACTGTTCGTCGGTCGGTAAAGCTTCGCGACTCCTTTGGCGAGCAGCTCTTCTGTAACGGAGGACTCCAGTCCCCGGAAGAGTAAGAACTGCGAAGGCTGATTCTCCGGTGCCGCATCGTTATCACCATGGTTTTCCACCTTTGGGGCAGCGATGCCTGGAGGCCCTGATGGTCCGGGTTCTACTCATATTAGCGAACGCTGCAGATACGAGATGTGGCATGATTGTACATACCGGGGCGAGGTGCCTGGCAACGGAAGCACTTGTTGCGCGTGGAATAGTTGACAATGGAGCACTAGTCCGTCAGCTTTATCCTGCTATCGAGTGGCAATACTCACATTCCTGCACGTCCAGTCTCCCTCGGCCCGAGCACGCGCACGGTCTTCTCGCTCGCGGCTATAGGCAATGCGCACCTTGGTGCCCCGATCGTTCGGACCAGCATTGGGCCCATAGAAGAGGACAGTTGGAAAGTTGCGCTCAACGAAGTCACGCGAGCAGTCAAGGTTTCGGAATCGAAGAAAGCCTAGTTGGCGAGAAAGTTCTGCACACTTGTCAGCATCCCTTTCGCTCCATGAGTGCCCTAGCCATACTGGTCTGTCGGTCCCTGATCACTCGAACGTCCTCGAGACCCTCAATGTGATAGCCGTCTTTGAGTTCATTGGAAATCTGTTCAACAGGTCAACCGGCAAAACCGGTGACATGTACATCTCAGCCTCTTGCCATCAAGAATGTTGCAATGTGCAGCGCATCCGTCGGAGGGAAATATCTAGGGGAAGGAATTGTCGAACGTCTTCTTCCGCCATATCCACTGGCAATCCATCCATCATCACCTCCCTACTTTCCTGTCCGTACTGCGAGCGACCTCGGCGCGGGCTGCGACTCCGGCTGTGACTCCGACTCCGGCTGCTGTAAGGCGAGTGGTATCCTTCGCGATCACGGTCTCGATAATAAGGCCTCTCTCGTCGAGGAGGCGACCGGGAGACTCGCCGTCGAGGGTCATCGCGATCCCTACTGCGGTACCGAGGGGAATAGTCGCGTTTTCTGTCGGCTGCAGGACCCCTTGGAGGAGACAGCGCAAAATCTTTTCGCAGCAGAGAGTCAGTAATGTCTTCACCTAGAGCAGGACTGATACGGCTGTTGATGTATCCACGCTAAGCTATGCGGGGGACGTAATACCGCCAGGCGAGCGTGACCGGGAGGGCGATCGGTCGTCGTACATCCGGCCGTCGCGATCATCACGACGGGGGTATGGTCGGTGGGAGGCACCCGAATGGTAACGCCTATCGTCCGGATGAAGCTCAGACATGATAAGAATGGAACAACATGAGAATGAGTTGGATCAAATATGAGGAGAAGAGAGTCAGGTACAAAGAATAAAGAAGTGTTGATAAGTTGGTCGATCGTTGATAATGGCGCGGCAGAATAGCAGACCGCTTCCTATTTCGGTCTCGGGTTCTGCGGACAGCCTTAAGGCATTCAGGCAACCAGGTGAATATCGCCCAGGCATCCACCCTGACTACTTCATTGCTTCATCTTCCTTTCATCACAGGAGTATTGCCTTCACTTCTTCCAATCGATTTCTCATCTTTTTCAGCGAGCAAGAACGAAATTATCAGAGTGAAAGCTTCCCGGCTTCCAAACACCTCTCCTATATAGCCGAGAATCCAGAGGATGTATATCCTAATCTGAACTATATCCATTAGGCATTGATAGGTATTGTGCCTCTGGTGAAAGACAAACCCATTACAGTACAATCAGATCATACCAAGAGTGAAATAAGCCACATCTTCAGCATCCATATGTATTGGTTTATCATCATGAAGACACGGGTTTAACAATAGGACCGATTTCACGGGCCACGGCAATCGCCAAGGACTAGTAATTCCTACAATCTCACCTTGTTTGAGGTTTTTAGCAAAGGCTTGGGAGTGTTTTTGTGTCTTATGGCCGCCTGGTATGCTGCGAGTTACATTTTTCTTATGGTTTAAGTTTTCTTCAAGATACGAATGGGCCCAATCCCCGCAGCGTGTGCGCCGTCCCATGTGCTGGTTGATATACCGCAGCATCAATAGCAGATGTTTCATCCTGCCTCATGTACACACCAGCGAGTATTCTAAAGACAATGCACAGATACTCAGAAACAACCGGCGACAATATCGCCGCCGGTGTGAAAAATTCCTCAACTTTTTTTCTAAATCTGGAAAAAAAAAAATAGCTGAAATCAGGGCACTAGCATATCCTCACTGCCCAAAACTACTCGAGGCAAGGGAAGTCCGAAGCTTATAATAACATTGCATGCCAATAAAAACTGGGCAAATCCCTTCGGCTTAATCTTGTTCGCCTTGTTCGCGTGCATAATTGTGGATTTTGTCTCGTGAAGCCTCCTTCATTATATTTCGTGACAATTAATCTACCTATCCAGATGGCAGTGATCCAAAGGAAAAAAGCCTTACGATTCTTCGAATATTGCTAATCGAGCATCTTCACCCCCCCTCCTTCTCGGAATATTACCTCATATCTCTGCAATGATGCCTTGACCGGATTACGTGCCGCAAACAATACCTCCAACTCCTCGATCGTCCGGCCTTTAGTCTCTGGGAGGGTAAAGAACATGAAAACATATTCCAGAAAATGGAACACCACTGCAATTGTCAGGAGGCATCCGTGCAAGGTGTAAGATATAGTGGACTTACTAAATATGGTGTACATCTTCCACCCGATTGTCGACAATCCCGTTGGTGTCGCATACAGATTGATAAAACTCGACGCACCATATACAATGGACTGAAAAGCCATACCCTTGGCACGGGCATGGTTGGGCAGAATCTCCGCCGGGTAAAGAGTCTGTAGCGGGGTCCAGCAGAAGGCATACACGATCCCGTACAGGAAAATGCAGGCGATGAATCCGTACCCCATACTGGTGGTAATATTGTCGGCATCGAAAGAGGCTATCACGTTGATGGGGATGTAGATGAGGCCTGTGATGAACGTTCCGTACAAGAAGAGCGTGCGACGGCCCCAGAGGTCAACAGTGAAGCTGCCGCAAATGCCACTGACAAACCCAAAGACGTTATTCATCGCGTTCAGAAGCAGCTGTTGTGACTGGCTTTTGATGCCTGCATTTTCCAACATCACGGGCAAATAATACCTATCCCGGTTGGTTAGTAACACGTTGATGTACTGGGTGAGGAAGACTTACGCAATGACAGACCCCCCAATAAACTGGGAGAAGATGCACACCAAAAACAACAACCACATACGATAAAGCATCTCGCGCGAGCTGAACAAAACCTTATAGTCCCACCAGCGACGGCCGCCCAGATCCGCCTCAAGCCGAACGTCGGCTTCGATCTCGTTGCATTCGTACGCTACTATGGATGAGTCGGGATCCCCCATACCATGGTACTTAACCAGCATCTCGCGAGCCTGCTCGGCTTTGTTGTTGGCGAACAGCCAACGTGGGCTTTCGGGCATCAGCCATGCACAGGTCATGACAATGAATGGCGGAACTGCCTGGATAATGACAGGGATTTGCCAGCTCCAGTTTGAGGCGAGAAATCCGGTTCCGTAAGCAATCCATGTGCATGCTTCATATGGACATTAGCCATCAATATCCCGACGCTGAGAGTTTGGAAAGAGGACGTACACAGTGATCCGGTATAATACCCAACTACATTATACAACCCCCCGAAAGTGCCTCGCCAGTGAGGCAGGGCAATCTCGACCAGGTATATTACTGCAGCCGTATTCGCCAAGTTGACCCCCATACCGATGAGAAATCGGCCCCCAATGAACTGACTTAGTTCGTTTGCCGCCGCTTCGAGGCCTGCTCCAACAATGATCAACATTGACCCGACAGACATTCCAAAGCGACGCCCGAACGTGTCTGATGCAGGAGCCGAGACAGCCGCGCCGGCAAGAGTACCGATAGCATAGATGGAGAACAAAATGCCTGTTTGGCTACCCTGCATCTCTGTCCCGAAGTGCTTGTGGAAGGAATCCATGGCATTGACAGAGGACATGAGCATCCCATCGTAGCCGTTCATACAACAGTCTTATTCACATCGGTCAGTACATACTACCTCAACTGTCAAGGTTATCCTGTCACGGGACATACTTAGCGTTGTGAGAAGCACAATCCCATACAGCCGGAGCATCTTCCAAGACCAAGGTGACAATCGATCCCTGGTAATTGCATCTTTCAAACCCACCGAGAGCACCCGTGCACGGTGCACATCAGCATCGTAATCGTCAATCACATATTCTCTACACTCAAATGGAGACTGCTTGTCGTCATCGCTGCGTTGGAATGTCGCCATCTCCACATAATCAACAGCGTCCATGTCAGAGATAAGAACATAATCAATGTATTATTCTTATTCAAGGTCTGGGGTTCAAGATATATACCCACTTTACCCCACTCATGGATGGAGTCAATACCGTGTTGATTATGACTCCATACCAACCCCGGATCTTGGCATTTCTACTTTGAGCGCGGCGGGCCACCCGCACTACCCTTATTTTTGGAAGTCATGACTGATACAGTATAGCTTGCAGATCTGTTTCCAAATGCGTAACGGGTGCTAACTCGCTAGCGTTTTAGGCCACGGGGTGGAGGGCCGTTTATTAAGGCTGCGCCGTGGCGTCGAAAACACTCTTCGCGATATTAATATACCACTTGGCAAATTATCCCTCGAGTGCACACCGGCCATTGCTGGGCGTGTCATTATAACGCCTGCCGGGGAGGTGTCGTGTTCAAGTACTTGACAACTTGCTAACGCCTAAGCCTATATAGTTCCGAGTTCTGTCTTGACTGCGGGATGTTGACCGAGCTCTTCATACGATTGGAGTATGTAACAGGAATTTTTTCACGGCGTTCGTTCCCCTCTTGTCCGCTAACTTGAGGGATTTTGTATCCTCACAAAATCTCTCTTCACACTTACAGACCCTAGCCAACTAATGCAATGTTCTTTTCGAGCAGTAGGCCTGAGCTAATCGGGTATCTGATCCTCCAAAAGACGCCAAAACTGCAGGGTTTTACGAGACAAGGGCCCGGGGCTTAATAAACAACAGGACACCCAGGCACTATAGACGAAAAGAGAAATATTACTCGATATAGCATCCGCATGTGGGGGCATCCGGCAGTTCATGTCCAAGCAAGAACCTGACAGCTATTGGTCTAACAGGATTATTTCCAAATATGGACAGGACCGCTCCGCATCCTTCCAGGTTGTGTTTTGCATTGGAACGCTATTCAGCAAAGCCACTACTGACAGACAGGCTACTTGCCGAAGCGGAAATCTCCCACTGTTGACATCTCTATCCTCTCTCTGTACTTGACCTTGTACGTACCTGCTCATTGTCATCCTTCCCCAGTACGTCAAAGACAAGATATGTGTAGCCCGAAGAGATACTCGCCCATGAGTCAAATATGCGTGGTCGCGTAGATGGGAAATTACGGTGTCTCGTCTTGCCGGTTATATAATGAGGCCTGTTGTGGCCCAGAGCACTGCTACACAGATGTAACTTTGAATTATTGTAAAGATATTATCTGCTTCAACAATCTTCCATCTATTTGAACATTGATTTATCTATTAATTGTCTTTGAAGACATATAGTAAGCTCGCTAAGAAATGACCTGTCTAGGCCCGCAGGGAAGGAATCCTCGATTGGTAGTCACTAGGGTCAAGCCCTAATTCAATGTACTATATCCGCTATCAAAACATGCCCTAACTAGGGCTATATATACCTTGATCATTCATCGTAAGACACAAATCATGCAAAGAAAAGAACAATGGACAGGAGGACTTCATAGAAAAGGGAGGAAGGTAACGAGTGAATGGCTAATGAATGAATGAACGGTTGAATTATTCATGGATGGAAAGATGATTTTCGGATGGAAGGATCGAAAATCAACCCTCAACATCCTTCTTTCTCCCCCCAGCAGGCTTCCAAACAAGCCAAGCTATTGTGATCCCCAGCTTGAGACCCATTGCGAACCACAAGCTGGCCACCATCTCCGTGATCTTCGTCAACCCACCGGCGGTCATGGCACCCACGAACAGCGCCAAAAACGCCGCAGCCCGCCGGTTGCGCTTATAGTTAGTTTTAGCCAGTAATTGTGGATCGACAAGTAGATCGCAAATGAGCGTGGTAAGCACGACCGTGGGAATCTCTTCTATGCCCAGGGTGCGCGAAGCACAGATTTGCCCGCCGGCTTGGAAGGCTAGCAGGGCGATGGGGAGCGCTTGCATCCATTCCATGGGGGCGCTAACGTCTTCGGGCTCGGGGCTGACGACGGAGCATTGGATTAGCATGGCCGCTATGAAGAGTAGGGCGGTCTGGACGCCGAAGGAGAGAACCATGGTTAGGCGCCGGCGGGGGCCGAGGGCGCGTGAGACGCGGATGAATGTGATGCTGCTTAGCATGTATGTTGCGAGAGAGATGAGTGATTTTGCCCAGCGGTATTCTGGCCGGGAGGGCTGGCCGGAGACGCCAAGGGCGAGAAAGACAGCATTGCCTGTTTGGGCGCTGTTAGTTTGGCTTGATGAATAGGGCATGTAATGCTGGAGGGATACCTGTTTGCATGCTGGCGAAGCTGCCCCAAGCATTGAAGGCAAGACCGTCGACGAGGCCGCTGACAAAAGCGCAGATTACGAGAAGTATGTCCGTGTGTGTGGTCTCAATGTCCGCGTAGAAGTGACGAGATAGCGTGGAGCGAAAGCCGGTGTCATCGTCCAGGGCCACTTGGTGGCCCGATAGAGACACCGTCGTGCTGCCCCCTACGGACCAGATGCCGGCGGGATCTCTGGACTCGTCATTGAACTGGGGGGCAGAGGGATTTGGGGCGATCGATGCATCCCAATAGATGAGTTGATTGTTAGGGTTTGCAGCTGGTGCCCCGGGTGGCTGAATGCCTCCGGAGGATGAAGGTGGTGGTTGATTGTGCATTGAGACAAGCGAGTCAGTGATGGTATCCTCAGGCCAAGGTGCAGCGTAATGCTTAAAAGAAATTGATTTTGCTAGGCAAAAAACATGGCTGGGGCGCAGGCCCGCGCGGGCAGGGTCGATTGGTTTATATCCCAGGCCAGTCTCTCTGCCCAAAAATCCGACGGTGCGCGCCAAGCGATATCTCTACTGTTCGCCTGCCACCTGCCAGAGACTTCGCGCAAGCGATGTCTGTCCATCACCGCTTGCCTTGTGTGTCTGTTACACCGCCGGAAAAGAGTGTTTCAAGCCAAGCGACACGTCCAACAGCTTCATGTGTCGGCTCTGACTCTTTGCGTGTGTGGCTACATGGCAGTGTGCCAAAGCAGCAACACAAGAACTCCTATCAACAACGATATCTTGACCACTTGTCTCCCCCTATCCGGAACTGTCGAGTGATCCATCGCAATGTTGCCCGCTTGGCATGTCCCTTGGCACCGCCATCACGGCGTCATGCTTTTCCGCCCTCGCGTGCCGATTACATTCCCAGTCCAATCACTATCAGACAGAGCCCCGATGTTGCTCCCTTGGACCCGCCGTCGATCGGTGGAGCTCGCCAAGCATTGGCACTCAGGCATCTTTGTTTTCCCAGCGATAAGGGCCCGGTAGCTGACCGGTACGATGGTGGTAAACCGGTCTTGGAGTACTTGGCGGCTGGCCGTGTTGAGCTGAAGAGAACGGGTCTTGGAGAGAGATAGGCTCCGCTATTTTCTTACCCCCCATTCTGGGCAGACTCTGGGGGTGCGCCCCTCCTCGGGAAGTCTCCAGATGTTTGAATTTGGTGGATATTGCGTAGTAGAGATTATGGTTTTTTAGGGTTTGGCGGGCGGAGATGGCGGTTGCCGGCCGCCTCGTCGGGATATGAATGGTTGCCAATATGACAGGTAAATCAATCTGCTAGGCATCTTCCTATTTTTATCTTTCTTTTGTTCAACTGTACAGGCAACCCACTCTTTCATGCACAGCTCATGCTCACTTGCTTCATATCATATTTGTTCTTTTTTTTGTTCTTCGTTTTTTGTTTTTCGCTTTTCATGTTTTTTTTTCCCCGAAGTGTATAAGCGTGGGCCTGGGCAATGTTGCGCGCAGATTTCTTTGCCAAGGTGGATCAGCGCCAGACAAGAACCCAATTTCAGTAGTTGGTTGGTAGCTTGCGCCAGGTTGTGGTGATCTCCGGGATCCGTAGTCCATGATCCATGACTAGGCTGTTCAATTTGTGGGGACAACAGACAGCTTGATAACACAGCCTCAAATATCATATTCTCTTTGGGTATAGTTTCCCAAGCCACGCAGAGGAGATGATGATAATGGCTTGGCGTGTCTCGATTGGGAAAAAGAATGAAGAGTCTAGACGATCGAAGATTCCCTGATTGTTTTCCTCCTTTTTTGCTGGAAACAAGCACCAATAACAGCTGCCTATTTTGCTCTTATCAGTGACTTGTTGGTGCAGTGACAAACTTCCATCACTAATTGCCAACTCGGGTTTCTAGTGTGTGCACTCGGACTCAATTCAAACCAAGATCCAGATACGCCAAGATTGAGCAGGATCAGGCGCACCCAGCGGTTACGCATTCATCTCCATTTTGTGTATCCTTATCATGGCTCCAAAGGTCTATGGGCCATTAAGATTAAGAAACCGCGCCATGGCTAATCTCAGCCGGATGAAGAACGGCATCACCGGTTCCCACCGGATTGGTGTCCACGGTCCTTGGCGAGTTGCCATTCTCGCAGAGATACAATATATTGGAGAGTTCGACCCTTCTTGGGTTCCCAGCAGCTGACATCAGAATATGTGATCCGTATATAGATTCCCCAGGCGCGTTTCATGCCAATTCTCGTCATACGTGATGACTCCGGAAAGTTGAAGCCACGTTGTTGTTTGTCAGATTGTTGCGATTTCTCACTCGCTTAATCGTGCCGATTTCCTCCGTGCACTGTTCTCGGCGTCATCGATCAGCAGAGGTGCGGAATTAATCTCGTGATAAGGAGCGAGGAGGGGCGAGGCTGGCAATTGCAAACATTTCTTTTGGGGATAGGCCTAACCCGTATCGTCGATCTTCTTTGGCGCTGTTGATGTGACTCGATATCTATGCCTGCTCTTCTTTCTGGCACCATTAAGCCTGTGACTGCCTCCTTGATGAACAAATTAAGTTTGTTGCCTATGTCCCTGAAGACTATGTAAGCCATGTACCATTTAGGGGTATATCTGCATGCGACGCATTAATTGTGGCGGCTCGGCCCTATGTACCATCTCAATGCCCGGAGCAGGTTGCATCTTGCTTGGGATTTGTCAACCTAGCCCCAGTGTGGCTTTCATAGAAAGGGTATAGAGTGTCGTAAAGCCGCTCCACTTCGCTTGGATGACTAGTGAAAGGAACTTGTTTAGCATTGAAGAGAGATGGGCACTTTTCAATTCTGGCTGATCATCTTAAAAGTCACACCCGTTCATGAGTTGTACAGAGCACCGCCCCCCAGGTGGGGACTTCGATTAGAATCGAGCTCCGAGACTTCGCAAAGGGTCATGCTATTTCGGGGATTATGCCTGAAGCACCGATTCATACGATTCTATAGAAGTCCAACCCACGAGAGTGGTGGGTTTATGGTGAAAAAGCCTCCTGAACTTCCCAGAAAGCTCGTGCGTGCTGTTGAGGTCACTCGTCACATCAAACGTCGTGGACAGGCTTCGTCTTGGATCGGAGGAAATTGGACCGTGTGACTAGCACGGGTCATAGAATGACGAGCTCGGCAGCCTAAATAGACTTTTCAGGGGTTGATATTGAGACTCCTCTCCGATTGGCACAAGGCGGCACCGACTCTTTTCGAACTCTCATTTAGTATGGCATCCCAACTGTGGATCCAAACGTGGTCACTAACAGCCCCCGCCAAGATGCCTTGATTTTGTTGGTTCTTATGGCGCATCATGCGTGGACCCATGCGAGAATGCTCTCTCTCTTCTTTGGGGTTGTATTCTAGATAGTCCACTGGATACCTTGAACAGGTTTATCGTCCGGAAAACATGAAAGCCCTTAGTTTTGGTCAAACCCAAGATCCAAACTGGTCTTCTTCTGACGAGTGGTCTTTGACTGGCAAGTAATTGGTCGGGCTTGGACTCATGGCGGAATGTTTCCTCGGGCTCATCCCCCGCGTGATAAGAGCGGAGGCAGACTTGGCGCCCCACTCGGACTTGCGCCGTTTGATCGGCCATAACCAGCGCTATCTTGTTCAAAAGTCGAAATGTATCTCCCTCTGAGAAGATCCTCATTGTGTTATGGCACCCAATCTGTGGCACCCGATCTGTATGAAGCACCCGCTTGACCAGAAAGCCATGGCAATCTAGTCAAACGTACCCAGGACAACATCTCCTTGTAGTTGAGTGTGAATCTCTAGGCTCACATCAGCTCTCATATCCACGTTGAAGCGTGCATTCAAATCCCTTCTATTACGTTGAACCTTCGACAAGCCAGCCTTGGCCGACGTGACCGTATTCTTGCCCCACGGAAGCTTTTCGCGATCTACCCCACCAGTCGCTAACGGCGTGACACTTCCATGCACCCAATTGTGTCCAAGGTCTTGGTCGTCGGTTTTGGGCGGAGTAGTAAGTTCTTCTGCGCCGTTCACTTCTCCTTCCGTGGCGTCACTGTGATCACTTGTTTGACCATCATGCGTGTCTGTACTATTTGGGGGCCCCCACTCGGGAGATTCCTGTCCTTCACTCGGGCTCTGGGATGGCGGGCCGTCACCTTCCGTCTCCTTGGCGTCATCTTTGTCACTGGACGGCTCCTCATGCGTGTCTGTGTTATCTGGTGGAACCCACTCCGGGGGTTGTCGTCCTTCACTAGGGCTCTGGGGTGACGGGCTCTGAGGTAATGAGCCGTCCCCTTCCATATCCATGGCGTCATTGTGGTCACTTGATGGGCCCTCATGCGTGGTCATACTATCTGGAGGTCCCCAGTCGGGGGATTTCCGTCCTTCATTCTCGCTATGGGGTGACGGACTCTGGGGTGACGGGCTCCGGGGTGGCGGGCTCCGGGGTGGCGGACTCTCTGCAGGGTCTTCTCTATCTGGAAATTCCTCCTCTCCGATCAGCGACCCCTCTTGTGAAGGAGTAGCCGTGTTCTCAGAATCCTCCTCATTCTCCGAGATCTGGTCATCCGAATCGTCCCTGTAGTAGCAGAAAGTAGCTCTTAGCAAGGGTATTGCATTGGCTCCACCGCAAGGGATAGTACTGACCTTTCATGGTCACCATCCGTGGGGGGAGGGGCCGGGTTGAAGAAATACCCCCATATGCCCGCTAGAGTGTTTGTTACTGCCGAGTATGGTCGATTGAAAACCATCGAAACAGGAGCTTCCTTAGCCTAGTGAGAGGATGTTGACTGAGATTTCGAGGTATCTGATTGCATCGTCTATCAACTGACGATTATTGGTATCCTGAGTGACGGCTAATGGTTGCTTTTTTCTGATATCATTCCAGTGAAGGAAGGACACATTACCGAGATGATTTCTTTCAAAGAACGAGGGGATTAGAGATAGGATACTTTGCCCGTATAGTGTCGGGGAAGGGGGGTGAGGATACATGGTAGAAGTTGGGCGGCATGTCACATTCCGCATGCGGAAATTGTTGTAACGCGGCGGCTTTTGAGTAGGCTCCTCAGGCACACAACCCATGCTTTGGGTGATGGATCCATATTAGCGAAGAATATCATTCATTAAGCACGATTGTTTCGAAACATTTAAGAACAATCTGCCTGCAGCACCGATAGAGGATTTTCCTAATATAAATAACACAAACTTCAAGAATAACCACTCCCCTCACCCCCGAACAGCATTTCGTCATCAAGAACATGAACCAGGGTATTGGGAACATTTA